TATTTACAACATTAATCCCATAACATTATTTATTGCAGTTGTAATTTTGCAGTGTAAATTATTTAATTTGATTGGTAACAGCCCTGTAGTGTATTACATTTCTTGATCAATTGTAAGAATTTGACTTGAAAGATGACGCATACTTAATAAAACATTAATAAGGTAAAAAAATAAATATTGCCCTTTATAAAGGTAAATGACATCCTGTGGTAAATATTAAAAACATGCAGATTTAAGTATGTAAAAGCTGACAGAAAACTGATGAAAATATTGCTTCAGGATAAATTGTTTACACCACCAAAAATCTCGGTGATGCGACACTTTTGTTTTGTGGGAATATTTTGTATGGGATATTGTCTGCTGATATGAAAAGTTCACTGTATATCGTAATAACAAATAGCATTTTTGACAGCGATGATATTTTGTTTTCTTTTTACATTTAAACGTGTTAAATATTACATATACGTATGTAATATAATGTGTATTTCCATCACAGGCTTGGTCTTAAATTTCACATAAGGTGGTATTAAAAAGGTCTTAAAAAGTCTTAAATTTAACTTGTTCATTTCTGTAGACACCCTGGCATACGTCTGCTCAGACCCTGACGTGACGCTAAGCACTTTTCCACGTCAAAGACAGTTCTTACTAATATGAGCACTGGTGTGGATTTAAGCGCACACACACTCTTAAGATCAAATCTGTGCCTACACACACTTCATAAGAGAGGCCGTTAATGTCTACATGATCATGAGTTTCCTGGTCTGTAATGGTTTGTGAATGCATGTGTGTGAGGCTGATATCCGTCTGTGTCTCGTCTCTCTGCAGCAGTATCTGAGGCCGGTGGAGGACGTGGCCTCGGCTCAGGAGGACTGTTATAAATTCGCTGTGTCTCAGTCCAGTACTGGGACGGTAATGGGTGCCGTCATCATGGAGGGCTTCTATGTGGTGTTTGACCGAGAGCACAGACGCATCGGCTTTGCGGTCAGCACGTGTCACGGTGAGAGAGCATTTTCTCTGAGAAACTTACAGTGGCCTCAAATGGTATCACACTTATGCCAATGGGATTTTTTTTTGTTCCTTTATTCCAAATAGATAGATTATGATTCACAAATAAATGTAAGGAGATTCACAAAAACATTTTCAAACAGGGGCGGCGTTTCCGTATGGCAGTCGCCATTCCCTAGCCCAGTCAGATGTGCCACGGAAAATGATCCAAACTTCATATCTCTATTTATTTTGTTATTATTATTTTAAATCAGTGCTATTGGTCTTCCTTATGTCTGAGGGTTTTACAAATATGTTTCCAGTGACAAGCATTCAAAAGAGCTTGTCAGCGAAACCTCGTAACTCCACCCCGCCTCCATTCAGCATGAAGCGCTGGAGACAGATCTCCGCTTATTCGCAATGCAAGGGTAAATAAATAACTGATGTTTGAATAAGTGCAGCGTTTTCTTTACTGAAACACTATGTCTGTAAAGGCTAATATTTTTTTGTGTGTCTGAAGAGCAGAGAAGTGTCTTAGCTTTTGCTGTCTAGTTGTAAGCCAATAGGTCTTTACTTTTGTTCTGTTTCAGCTCGATCTCAAGGCAGTGCGTGCCATAGTCATGAAATTTATAGTTAATTGATTCATGTTCAGTTATAAATATTGTATTAAATATAGAAAATTGTAACAAATGGTAAAAAAAAAATCTCGTTATCTGGTCTCGTTATCCATATGTTTTTTTCTTTCATATAAGCGCCCATTTAGTCTATTGTCCTTAACTCTTTCCCCGCCATTGACGAGTTATCTCGTCTTTTAAAAGACAACGCTTCCCCGCCAAAGACGAGTTTTTGCGGCTTTTTGTGTTTTCACTGTTATACACTCGGGGGCGCTATTACGCATCTTCTGAACGAGGACAAAACCTCCCGAACAAAAACACACGTGAACAGGACGGAGAAACGAGCGATCTCTTATGTAAAAAGATGCATATGAAAAATAATGCGATCATCAGCAATAGACAGCATATAAATGAAGACTGCATAATAGGGATATGCCGGTATCAAATTTTCATGTTGCGATTAATTGCTAATGCTTTTGTCACGGTATACGGTATTATCTCAAAATCGCTGGCGGTGGCTGGCAACTTTTTTCTAAAATGCTGGCGGGGAAAGAGTTAAAGTCTTGTTTGCATGCTCCATTAATGTTTTATGTTTTGTTAATGTTGAATATATGGGATAAATATGGGTTAATAATTTATATAAATAAAAAAATACAACATTTAAAAGTAGCATTTTAATTTGAGTGTATTCAGCCATTCTCTGTAATCCCTTTTCACCGAAATAGCACAAATTCTGGTGCCGGTGTGTCGCCACTGGCTGCCTCAGATACAGTCGTTCTAATGACAGACAAAACACAGATCTCCGTCATTCACTGGTCAAAAACCAACTCTATTTGATCTTGATTTTCATAAAATGTTAAGTGTCTGATAAACCACAATACCAACTCTGATGACGCAGTGTTTAATTGTATTTCTATCCTTTTTCCTATATTTCAGTGCTTAGTGGTGTGCCATTGGATTTTTTTATTTATCAAAACTGTGCCCCCCGCGATTTACGCCACTGCCATACCCTATGGTTTTGTGAAACGCCACAACTGTATTCAAAGATTAATAGATTGAGTTTCACAAATATATTTTAAGAGTTTCACTAAAATAAATAAAATGAGATTTGCAAAATAAAAAAACATATCCACAAATATCTTTGTCACAAACACAACTGTGCCTGGCATTCATTTGTGAATGGCTCCATGTGCATTTGTGCATTTCAAAACATTTCTAGCGTTGTAACGATCGGCCTTATCGGTCGACTTACATGGGTTCAAAATAGGGACAGATTAAACTGTGTGAGATAAAATAAGTGTTTTAAAAAGATGAGACAATGACAAATTTACAATGAATAAATAGTGTATTTACACAATTTACAAGAAACTTAAAGTCGGCATGAAATCAAAATTGAAAATTCTTATTTTTTTAATAGAATACTGTAATGTTTATTATAAATAATTTATCCATGCACTTCATTATTTGTTTTTAATTCATGTGCCCTCGTAATATTTAATCAAAAACGTTAACCTCCCCTCCCCCTCAAAACGACTTATCTTCTCTTCCGGTCACGAGCTATGGCGCAAGGGCGGAGATAGTGACGTGAGGGGTAAACGCTGGGATAAACACAGGGGGAAAAGCTGAAGCTGATGCTTCACTTTATAGAAATCAATGCATTGACCAGTGCTGACGCAAGCCACGGGGGAGTAAACTACCCTTAAAAATTGAAAGGATATTAGGATATTACCACAACATTACTCTTAGGACATCACAAACTATTTTTTATGAATATGACTTAACCTGATGGAGGACGCACTCAGTCATTCAGGCAGTCTCTCTCTCTCTCGCGCGCGCGCACTGTTAGGCATGTTTTGTACCATTGATCATCCTCGTCGTCGTCTTCCTTAATAAATAAAAAAATTCTTCATGCTAGGGTGTCGGCGGTGAATCCAGTGGAGGGAAATCCCCCACCACTAACTGTAAACTGCCATTCAGATCTGCCTCCATTTTGTTGGCAACGCCCCAACTTCCAATGATCCAATAAATTCCCGAAGGATGAAATCAAGTCCCGCCCTCTCATTTCAGATGCCGTTTCACTCAGATAGACGTCACAGTAGAGAAAAAAAGACAATCGCTACTTCTGTTTCATGCCGACTTTAAAACAACACAATAAAGCTAGAAATTAGGGATGTCTGAGGCGAAACTGACGTTTCGACGCAGTGTTGAGATCCCGAAGCGTAGATGTTTCGAAACACTGCTCCGAAGCGTGATTCAAAACACCCATGTCACGTGCCAACGACTAAATGAAGCTTCGGTGCGGTTCACAAGTGTTTCGACCGACAGGCGGCAAAATAAAAATCTCACAACGTAACAAATGTGACACATTGTGGCATGATTTCTTTTATTAATGTTCACGTCTTATGACCAAAATAACCTATAATTATTCACAATGAGGAGTATAAAGTTTACAAAACCAAGCCCATGTAGTTTGGCAGACACATGCTAAAAACTCAACACATTATTAAACAAATAAAATCTAATAAAAAATACAACTATAAAAAAGACAAAAAATGTAATTGCTTTTACAATGATGTGGACACACTTTATTGTTTGAGATAAACAACATAGGTTATCATTCATAAATCATTGTCAAGGCAGAGCAACACGTGCAACTGACCACTAGGTGTCACAGTGGAGACGGGTGTCTGATTGTTTCGAAGCCTCGATACAGTTCGGCACATTTGCTTCAACTGTTTCAGTGATTCATGAAGCCTCGCTCTGCCCATCACTACTAGAAATTAGGGATGCACCGATACTGGTCTCCTGTACTCGTACCCGTACTCGTTAAAATGCCCCGATACCAAACGCCGATACCACACAGCATGTGATAAGCGCCATATTCAAACAAAGAAACACCGACAACAGACAGCAGAATGGAGTTAAGGATGTCTACTAGGAAGTATATGTATGCAATGAATATAACGTTAAACATTCAGTATTAACGCCTGTATAGCTGATGTGCGCGAGCTGCTAAACAAAGCACGCTGAGTGGATTGAGCGCGCGGCGGCGCAGATGCGCGAGCTTGTCGAGTGAATATACCTCTCTCACAGACATCACTGGAAAGTTTGTAGTTCGGTCGCATACGTCAAAAACAAGTAAGTAAAACAATGCACAAGTTACTTAACGGTAGGGAGAGAGAG